CCGTCCTCTTTTGGAAGGCCAAACAAAGTAGTTTCGCTTTCACAACGAAACACACAGCGTCTTCACGACATGGCGGCGGCGGCAACAACAATACTACAGCGAGAATAAAAGTTACGCCTTCTTTCTTTGCGTGAACATTTGGGCGGCGTTATGCAAATCTTCCCACATCGTGACGTAGATATGTGGGGGCGTGTTAGAACGAGCCGTTTTAGGTAGGCGTGGTTGACTTAACTTTTATAAAGAATATCTCTTTGGATTTGAGACTTTACAGATCTTCTTTATGCACCAAGAGCTTGTAACACTCCAAAGAGAAAGGTAAAATTTAAATCGCATCTTATGACCCCTTTAAATGAACAATCGTCATTATGTTGTTAAATATCAGTATCCATTGAATGCACTGGACTTCTGTTACTCACAGCCTCGTTTTCATTCCTGTCAAAAATGAAATATGGCTCTATCCTGACTAAAGTCTATTGATAATCTTATCCTGAGATGAGCTGTTAACCAGATCATTGAATCTGTGGGTTGAGAGTCGGATCAGTTAGATTCGTAAATGAATCATTCAAAATTTCTCACACATGCTATTGTAAGGCTTCATAAGCCTACAGCACGAAAGAATATTTGATAATACCTTTATAGTGCTTTTGCACTCTTTTTGAAGTTTCATTGTAATTGCAGCCAGCACAATTCTTCAGAATTCAATTCTTTTTTCCTTTTCTGTTCCCGAAAATAATTAAATTCATACAGATTTGTAACAACATGAGAGTGAAAAGTCCCTTTTAAATTCTGACAGACTCTTAAGACTTTAGATTAATGGCAGCACTGTAGACTCCTCAGATTGCCCAACTCCTGTTTTTTACTCTTAATCTCACACACACACACACACACTTATTATCTATAAGATATTGCTGAGTCATCCACTGTGGATCAAGGAGATTGGCTTTCTATGAACATGGTGTTGCCAAGCTGGCAAAGATAAACAGATTCCTGCAGCAGCAAGCACCCACGCCACAATACATGAGTTCCTGTCAATAAATGTATGACTGCAAGTGAATAATGTTTGGTTTTGTTTAGGGATGGGTTGATACTAGTCATTCAGTCACACAACATCCAACTAGTCAATTAGGGAGTTAGACTTGTTTATCTAGATTTTTTCCCTTTTCATATTTCAGTTTTGATATCTTAAGTGACAGTGCTTTAATTAGCATTTTACACTGCTCTTTGTTTAATTTGTATGGTAAAACCTAGTCAGTTTTGAAAACATGCAGTTTTGCATTGAAGAATCCCATTCAAAAATCATTTCAGTTTGACCTGAACAGTTTAGGTGACACATTTCTGTGTGGCTACTGAAGGAGGTGTCAGTGCAAACAATATGAATTATCCAAATAATGGGAAATACTTTTGTTTCTCTGCCTTTTAGATTTCTTAATCTACTTGACAACTGACTAAGTCAGCAGGCACAAGTCAAGATACACGGTGCCATAAAAAGGATTTCATTTATTCTCTATTCTTAAACACAGTGGGTGGAGGTGAAGAATTGCTCATCGGGTTTTTCGAGTTATATTGAACCTGTATCCTGCGAGCTCACAGCTGTGTGAAGATAAAACTATACACAATTATATAATGCACATAGTAATTTTCCTTTTAAAAGACACAGAAAGGGATTATTGGGTTTGATTAAGAATACTCTGCAGTCGTTTTTATCGCATGAGGAAGGATATTTGTTGAGCACACATTTCCCGTGTGACAAAGATTATGCAAACTCAGTGTATGTGACTGATAAAATGGACATTTGAATGTCGTTAAATGAAGACGTTATGTTTATATAGTCTAGCCTGAAGATGCACTGCATTATTGAAACTCTTCTGAGAGTGTCAGATCAATGATGTGAAACATGATATTGTTCTCATTTGGTAGTTACACACAATACCAGCTTCAGTTTTTTTAAATGCCATGTAATGAATCACAGTAAAATCATAATATGTTCACACTAGCAAAACATCTACCAAAATGTATGATTTTATATGTTTCTAGGAAATATTTCATTTTTTTCATAATATACGACTAATTTAGAATAGCCGTCAATGAGAGAAATGTTTTTTTCCTGTAATTCTACAATTCCCCCAGCAGGCTAACTGGTTCATGCTATCCAGCCAAACCTTGACTTTTTGATATGAAGAAACATGATATTGTTTTCATTTGGAATTTACTATTTAGTGCACAACATTCTGGGTTCAGTTTTTAAAATGCCATGTAATCAATCACTCAGTAAAATCATAATATATTCACTAGCGAAAAAAAATCTACCAAAATTTGCGATGTTTCTAAGAAATATTTTTCAAAATATACAAATATTTTTGAATAGCCGTCAATGGAGAGAAATGTTTTTTCCTGTAGTTCTACCATTCCACCATGCTAACCTTTTTTTTTTTTTTGATTGTGATGGGTTCACAAATCAGTTTGCACTAAATGTGTGCTGCACAAACTGTTAACATCATGCTGACATGTTCATAAATATGAACTCCAGCCCCTTTCTAATGTTAGAAATGGGGATCCTTCAGAAGATTAACATGAGGAATACTGACTACTCTTCTAAAGAAAGAAAACCATTGTCAGTTAACCAAAGTCACCCGAGACAGGAAATGCTTGTGAGTTTTGTTGTCTGGTGTAAAAGCCTTGCTAATAAACGGTTCAGTTTGTGGCTTTAGCTCATTGCTCTACTCTGTATTTTCCACAGACAGTGACTTTAGTTCTGCTTCCTTTACAGTACACGTATGGTTGTGCTTCTCTTGAAAATCACAATTTTCCATTTTAACTTAAGTGTTACTTTCATTTAAAGAAATTGTACTGTTTTGAAACCTAATGTGGCAGAAGTGAAGTGACTTCAGAAGAAGGAACTTGCTGCAAGGAGACACTTCCTCTTTTGAAAGGAGCTTATAGTGGGACTTTATCAGCTGAATCTGAATGTAAAACCGTGTGTAGCATAATTCAGTTTACATTTATTTGTATTGTGCTTTTCTAAGCAGCTTTACAGAAAATTGATATCGATACATTACAATTAATGTAATATTATACTTATTATGGCTATATTGTTTAAAAATCATTAGCATTTTTAATTTAGATAATGTGTCAACTTGTTTGACACAAGTACTGTTGTTATACCTAACACTGGCCTGCTTTCTGGTAAAGCGTATGATTATTTTCTATTGTCAGAGCTTAAATAATCAGCCTGGACTTTTGAACTGCTTAGTGCTCCATTTGTAGAAGAAATATTGAGTAATAGTCACAAACTTGTGAAGAAAAGACCTCTAACATTTCTAAATATCTCGTCAGGTCTGCTGGGTCATGACTGTGGCCTGAAGCATCTTACTGCTCTCAGGAGATTAGGAAGAGAATGGCTTTTTATAATTAAGATTTGGGAAATAATGGCATTATATTTCTCTTCATGTTAAGCTGTCGTCATACTAGAAGTGCTATTTAGCTGCATAATAGGTGTTCTCAAATCTGAAAGTTATTTTAATTGAACACAATTAGTTGCACCTACAAATAGGGACAAGGGCTTATTGTTCAGTCATTTCCAATAAATATTACTGCTTTGGATCTGTTAGACTACTCAAGACAGGCACAATAAAAAAAAGCTGTAAATTTTTTTTTTCTCTAGATAATACACACACATATATATATATATATATATATATATATATATACTGTATAATACAAATAGTTATAGTTATACAAATTAGATAGAACCTGCTAGTACAGAAATATTATAAACTACTAAACCATAATTGTGTCCCTATGGCAATGGAATTGTGTAGCTGTTTATTTTTGATGCATGGTTGTGGCAGACAGCAAAGGTCATTGTGTCGCTCACTGCATCATACATTACCTGGTCTCTATGTGAAACCATAATCTTTTTCATGCTTGCAGCTGATGAGGCAAACTTTACGTTTTTCTCATCATTACAGAACATACACTTTTTATTAGGGATGCACGATATATCGGCCACCATATCGGTATCGGCCGATAAACGCTCATTTTTTCTGTTATCGGTATCGGCCTGATAAGAAAATTTGGCCGATATCTTAAAGCCGATAAATAATGCATTATTTCCTTCAGAGACACTTCAGATGCGCGCTGTTCGTTTGCAGCCTTTTGTGCAATTGTACGTTGTAATATTGTGTTTATTTGATGTATTATCTGATTTATCTCATATAGAATGCATTTGGTTAAGTTAAAAGAGCGCTTCAGTTTACCGGTGATCATCTTTAGCTCAGTGCACGCAGCTCAAACAGCAGTGCACAACATTAATAACTATGATTGGGAATGTCGTGTATATAACATTCTAATGAGAACATTATTATAATAAAACGTTGTGAATTCTTTGGGTTTAGTTGCTGTGTTTCAGCGCGTTGATATGGGAAGAGCGCATCCACAACAGGATCACACAGTCTGACTATAGCACGCAATAACTGCATCATTTTGAACATATATAAGTTGTAATATTATGTTTATGTTGAATTAACATCAATCTCAGGATGCATTTCCTTTAATTAAATAAACTGCCAGCAAAACGCTTCAGTTTACCATGTTCATTCAGCTCTTCAGCTTCAGCACGCGCAGCTAAACGGCTGCTATTTAAAACAGTGGTATTAATTTGTTACTTTTTCAAAATCATTGATACATTATTAATAACAACAACCACTTGTATTTTTCTCTTATTATTTTCATCAACAATATGGTTTAGTAATTAAAATAATTTAATTATTGTCCGTGCAGAGGCTATTCCGTTTTATTGATCTATGGCGCATTCATTTTGATTCTTTACACGTGTAATGATGTCCAATGACTTGTTTGCATTATTTATGCAATATTTTATTTATTTGTAAGACTTTAAGAATAATCGGTTATCAGTATCGGCCAAAATTTTCATATCGGTGCATCCCTACTTTTTATACTACAATTTATGAGACTATACTGTGCAGAATTGCAGCACAACTGTTTTCAATACTGATAATAATAAGAAATGTTTCTTGAGCAGCATATTAGACTGATTTCTGAAGGATCGTGTGACACTAAAGACTGGAGTAATGATGCTGAAAATTCAGCTTTGCATCACAGGAATAAATTGCATTTTGAAATATACTCAAATAGAAAGTAGTTACTTTAAATTGTAATAATATTTCACAATATTGCTGTTTTTTAATAAATGATTTGGTCTCTCATTCAGGGTGATTAATGCTGGGAAGAGCATGCTGAATGAAGACCAGGCTTCCTGTGAGCTGCTGTATATCAGGAAGATGAGTAGTAAGCAGCAGCGCTGCTCCATGTTACAGGAGGACAGTGGGGTAAGTAAGTTTTAGACACTACATCCTGAAAAGACCAATGCAGGAGGTAGAATGTTGTTTGCATGAAAATATTGCTAACGCCAAACTCTATTGAAATCAATGGTAATGCGAGTCTTCACGGCGCTTCAATTCTTGGTATCAATATTTATGAATCCACTGAAACATCTATAAAAAAGATCCCTAATCTACTTTTTAATGGAACTGTTGTGGATCAACTGAACTGGGCAAAACCGGTCTCAGGTAAGATTATGAAAGATTTAGCTTGCTGACGGAACACTGAACTCACTGATCCTGGAGATCCCATTGAGCACAGGCATCTGTTGCTGAAACCTAATCTAAATTTAAAGAAAATCCAGATATACTTGAAAGGCCTGGCATTTTGAAACTACATTACAGAACAATAAAGTTCTTGAAATTGACCAATGTTCAATTTTGAACCGAACCCCTTGGTGATCATTATGTAAGGTAAAATAGCTTTCAACAAGCATACTGACAATTCAGACTTTTATTCTCGCAATTGCGAGTTTACATCTCACAATTCTGACTTTTTTCTTAAAATTGAGTGATATAAACTCATAATTCTGAGTTATAAAGTCAGAATTGCATGCTATAAACTAGCATTTGTAAGAAAATAGTCCCTTTTTACCTCAGAATTGGACTTTATAACTCATAATTGCGAGTTTATATCTCACAGTTATAAGAAAATAAATCAGAATTGTGAGATATAAACTCACAATTGCAAGAAAAATGGTAGAATTGCGAGTTTATATCTCGCAATTCTGACTTTAGCCAGTTTTTATTTACATCATGCATTTCTGAGAAACAAATGTCAGAATTGTGAGATAAAAAGTCGCAATTACCTTTTTATTTTTTATTCAGTGGCAGAAACGGGCTTCCATAGAAATGCACCAATCCACCAATAAACATCAGCTAACTCAGTTGCATAAGTGGAGTTTGTGTTTTGTGCCTTAATAAGTTATAAAATGTATAGTTCTGGTTCTAGCTGCTGATTGGTCAGTACCCTGCTCATAGCTATCATGGGAAACTCAATCATTCAAAACTACATCAAAATATAGAACAGCATATCGTGCTTCATTGCATAATTGTTGATCTAGAATGATATAAATGAAGCTGAAGTTTCCAGTACAAGCTGACATTCAAAAGGCCTTTTTTTGTCACAGCAAGTATGTTGAAGTGAAACTTATTTTTTTCCTTGTGAGAGTTTTGATCATGTGATGTGGTATAGGCAGTGTTTTCACCAATCCTGGACTTGTGACCTTCAAAGTGTGTTTGTGTTTGTATGTGGGCATAAGATTGATCTCTCTGATCCGCAGTCTGACCCTTACGTCCGTCTTACCCCATAATAACATGTAATCCAGTGAAAAAGTGGAAAACGTCCTCTTAGATAATATTGCATTGACAATTGAATAAGGAGGATTGTGGCATCTGTTCAGAGGCTTTGGTATTGTGCGATCTGACGAAATCCTCCCTGTTACATTCCTCTCTCTTAAAAGGGTCCTATTATGCGTTTTCTCTTTTTTTTAAACTTTAGTTAGTGTGTAATGTTGCTGTTTGAGAATAAAAAAGATCTGCAATGTTACAAAGCTCAAAGTCCATTCTAAGAGATATTCTCTTTAACAGTAAACACTTTTGAAGAACTACAACAAACGGCTCATTCAGACTACAGCGCACTTCGCAAAAAATGGGGTGAGGCCAGGTCAAGCTTCGCTAGAGAAGACAACGAAGAAGAACTGCTTTAGTAGCGTGTTGTCGCCATGTCGAAGAGACGCTGTTTGTTCACCAAAACCCCTTTGTTTGGCCTTCCTAAGGTGGACGAACACTAAAGGCAAAACATCTCAGTATGGCCGCTGTCATCTTGCGAAAATGACGGCATTTGGAGCCTGACTCTGCGCATTAGTGATCGTGAGGTGGAGCCGCAGTATCAAAGTTCCGCCCACACTCCTGCAGACCCAATCGCAAGCTCAGAATCATGACACCACACCCCATTTTTACACCATTAAATAACTAACTAAAAGCAAACTGGTTAGAAAAATGAACACTTGAACTTATTTTTTAGCATGGCAAGAACCACCAAAAATGACCGAAACCATCTTTGGGATTACATTCTTTGATGATTTAGTTTGGCTCACATCCCATTCGTTTACATGGAGAGGGTGGGGTTTATGATCTATACTGCAGTCAGCAACCAGATGGCAATCGAAATGTTTTGGTTTTACTTTGCAGGTCGTGAGCATCACGCTTGGGTGTACGGAGCCCCACACGTGACATGCAGGAAATAAAAGTCAATTGTACGCATGATTTACTAATTCGCTCCATCAGTTTACTAAATCGTGCGGACGATTTACTAATTCTTTCCCTCGGTTTACTAATAAGATTCCCTCAGTTTACTAAATCGTGCACACGATTTAATAATTCATTCCCTCATTTATTAATTCAGTAAATCATGTGCACAAAATAATTCGTTGGAATCGCATAATTGCATAGAATCATTTTAAGTGAGAGGTATCTACATCGGTTTATGAGAATGCAGACAGGAAGTAGAAATTAATTATTATTTCGTGCGCACGATTCGAGGGAACGAATTATATCGAGCACATGGTTTACTTAAAACGAGGGCACACATTATTATTTTGTGGGCACAATTTACTTAAAACAAGGAAACGAATTAGTAAATTGTGCGTACATTTTAGTAAATCGAGGGAACAAATTAGTAAATTGTGCGCATGAATCACATTTTTCCCCCTGCATGTCATGTGTGGCTCCATAAGGGTGTGACATTTACAGAACTCACTCTAAGCGGTTAGCCAATCACAACGAACTGGGCCAGCTAACCTCTCAGAACAAATTTCGTATTTCGGAGGGAGGGGCTTCATCGAAACAAGAAGTAATTGGTGTGTTTAAGATCGACTGGGTTCTGCAATAATGTGAAACATGAAAAATAATGTGTTTATGGAACAGTTGAGCATGAAAACCTATTCTAATACACCCCAAAAAAACTAAATCAAGTAATAGGACCACTTTGACCTTTCTCACTTATGTTCAAGTATCTAATATACTAGTAAAATTGCACAGGATAACTTAAAAATGAGGCAATGGTTGATCTGTATTTGGTTTTGTTGACAGTAAAAGGTATAGAACTAGATTTTGGGTGTTGCTAATGTGTTCTGAGCATGATGCTGTATGGTTGCCAGGGACTTTTATTATCTATCATGTTGTGTTATGGTTGCGAAGACATTTGCTCTCTATTTAATCTCATTAATGCGTACGAGAAACAGTTGAGTTCATTGACAAGATCTCATTTGTAGAATTGCAGGTAGTTTCCAACAATCAGAAATGGACTGGTAATCTCCTGCAGTGTTTACTCACACGAGGTTGTTAACCAGGACACTGACCTCTCTCCTCTCTTCCCGTCACGTGATGTTGCCCTCCCCCACTTAATACCCCTCTCAACTCCTCTAAATCAATTACATCATCCTATCATCTGCTGCACTGCCTGTCTGCAAGGGTCTATATACAGACAAACAGGCTGATAAAAGGATAGCAAGGCCACATATTCACTTGACTCTTTAGAATCAGAGATCCAGCCACAAACGTTTGCTGCTGCCTCAGGCCTTCCCAGCTGGCTGTCAATCTGAGTTAATCTCGTCAACAGGTAATGACAGGAAATTGAGATTGGAGAGTGTTTCTAGAAAAGCTATGGAATGGGTCCTGATGCTCCACTGTGGTTTTGAAAAGGCTTTACATGTTATTGTGCCATCTTGCTTTGCTTTTTGATACTGATTGGTGTCAAAATATATATATATATTTTCTAACATTTTCTAAATTGCTACTAGCTACTACTAGCTTTTGCTATGGCAAATTATTAAAGAGGAAGCGTGTCGTTTTTATGTATTTTTAATTTTTTTCACAATACTTTATCCTATTCCAGCTGTAGGACAACCACTGGTATTTTGAGCTCCTAAAGAGTGTAAACATTGGGGTTCATTCAAAACATTGCACTGTTTGTTTAAAGCAAGAGGTCAAGGTTCAGCTAGTTAGCATGATCCAATTAGCCCCCTACTGGTAGAAATTGTAACTACAACATTATGAAGCATCTTAAAAAGCATAAAAATAAAATGCATATTTTCAAAAGTAATTCTGACTAAATAATAACAATAATAATTATATATTTTTTTACTTGCATATATTTCTTTATATTATATTATATAATATTTATAATATATATTGTATATTTTTATATATTAAATTATATATATTATATTTTATATATTTATATAAATCATTACTACTACTAAACAATCAAATAAATAACTAAATAAATTCATTCATTCTAGATAAATTGTTCAAATAATCAAATATTTAATATAATGTACCCAATTGCATAAGTTTGGGATAGGCTACCTAATAGTCATTTACTTATTCTGACTAAATTAATTTTGTATTTTTTTTTTATTTACATATATTTACTTATATTATAATTTATAGAATTTCATTCAATTTTATATATATTATATTTTATATAGTTTATATAAATTGTTACTTACTAATAAATAAATAATCGATCAATCAATCAATCAGGTAGGCCAGTCCCAAACTTATTCAGATGGGTGTATTATATTAAATGATGTATACATTTTTAAAATTATTGTTGTTGTTATATTTGTTACATTATTATTAAATGTTTAATATAATATACCCAATCGTATGAGACAAGTTTCCTGTTTATTTGAACAATGACATAGTGTGCAATTCTGTTTCATGCCACTAATGGTGCAGAAATGACACCTCTTTCTCATCCCTTCAGGACACCACAGGCATTCCCATGCACTTCTGGGGAGTGTTTGATGGACACGCCGGCTCTGGTGCTGCTCTCATGGCATCCAAACTTCTCCAACTTATCATCCGTGATCGGCTTTGTGATGTGGCTCATCTTCTCGAAAATCAAAACAACCCTCCGCCTATCTGTCTGACCAAGAACGGAAGCCCCTTCCAGGCTGAGGCGAAGAAAGGGGCCTGCCTAGATGGAGAGGAGCAGGATGGGCTCCTGGATGAGCCGCGGTTCCACATGGAGAAAGACATCAGTGTGGAGAGCCTGGTGATGGGGATCATAGAGACCGCCTTCAGACAGATGGTGAGAACTGTAAAAGATAAGAGAAGCCTGTGGATATTTTTATGGAGGACTAGGTGTACCAATTCAAAATTAAATAAAGAAATGATAAATTTATTCAAAAATGCAATAGCAAATAAATAAATTAATAATTTTTTTAATTAACATTTGAAACAATTATTTAATTCATGTTTAAATGTTATTAAATGTAAGAAATAATAAATTGATATATGATTGTGCAACATTTAATTTTATATAGTTTATATAAATTGTTACTTACTAATAAATAAATAATCGATCAATCAATCAATCAGGTAGGCCAGTCCCAAACTTATTCAGATGGGTGTATTATATTAAATGATGTATACATTTTTTTAATTATTGTTGTTGTTATATTTGTTATATTATTATTAAATGTTTAATATAATATACCCAATCGTATGAGACAAGTTTCCTGTTTATTTGAACAATGACATAGTGTGCAATTCTGTTTCATGCCACTAATGGTGCAGAAATGACACCTCTTTCTCATCCCTTCAGGACACCACAGGCATTCCCATGCACTTCTGGGGAGTGTTTGATGGACACGCCGGCTCTGGTGCTGCTCTCATGGCATCCAAACTTCTCCAACTTATCATCCGTGATCGGCTTTGTGATGTGGCTCATCTTCTCGAAAATCAAAACAACCCTCCGCCTATCTGTCTGACCAAGAACGGAAGCCCCTTCCAGGCTGAGGCAAAGAAAGGGGCCTGCCTAGATGGAGAGGAGCAGGATGGGCTCCTGGATGAGCCGCGGTTCCACATGGAGAAAGACATCAGTGTGGAGAGCCTGGTGATGGGGATCATAGAGACCACCTTCAGACAGATGGTGAGAACTGTAAAAGATAAGAGAAGCCTGTGGATATTTTTATGGAGGACTAGGTGTACCAATTCAAAATTAAATAAAGAAATGATAAATTTATTCAAAAATGCAATAGCAAATAAATAAATTAATAATTTTTTTAATTAACATTTGAAACAATTATTTAATTCATGTTTAAATGTTATTAAATGTAAGAAATAATAAATTGATATATGATTGTGCAACATTTATAATGCATTTAGTGTCATTAAAATAATAAAATAAATGATCAATGTATTTCAAATTTTTTTTAAATGCTCATGTAAAAATGAATCATTGTTTAAATATTTAAAACTATTTATTTAATTATTTATTAGTAAAAATGGTTTTTATTGAATTCATGAAGTCATGTTGTTAGATGCAGTAAATAATAAATGGGTATATAATTTTAAGTGCAACATTTAAAGTGCATAATTCTAAAGCATTTGCCAGCTATGTTTCTTTACCTCTTTGCCAGTTGAGTTAAAAATGCTATTGGACAGTTCACACAGTTCACAGCCAATGAACATTCGATTTAGTTTTAAGACATTTAACTAACATTTTAAACATGAATTCATGTTACATAGGTATTTTGGACCTACCATCTGTATATTACTGGCACAGATGTTTAAACATCAAGACTGGGCATTATACATAGAATTCATATTGTGATTTTGCTGAATGTTGTGCAGATGTGAGCAAACAGAAGAGAAAACTGAGTCTGTGTCTGTGTGTCCCACTCTATAGGACGACCTGATAGAGAAGGAGAAAGAATCTTACAGCATCTCTGGCGGCTGTTGTGCCTTGATTGTAATTCACTTATTGGGGAAACTCTATGTAGCAAATGCTGGAGACAGCAGGTAGGAGGACTTATCCTTAAATGTGCATGTTACATTAGCAATCTAAAAGGTCTTTATATTTTAGTTAAAAAGCTTAGTATACAAAATAAATGAGGTTGAATGTCGACCATAATCGACAATAATCTTATCAAGATGCAAATTCTAAACTGTGAACTTGTATATCATAAGAGTTTATTGAGTGTGAGGTATTTTTGTTACAAAAGGATATTGTATTATATTTGCCTCAGTAAACACTGAAATGTCTGTCTAATGACATATGGAGGAAATTGTTGTTGCCTGAAATGAAAAGATGACATAAATATGTCTCTAAGGAGACAATGTGTCTTCTGCTTTACTGTTATTGCAACAGTACATTCCATGTTAATTTTGCAAAGATGTTGGCCAAATGACTCAATTACTGTGACAGTTACCCATAATGATAATCTTGGGGATTTTAGCAATAAATGAGAAAATTACTGCAGTAGGTACTGTATGGAACTGTAAATAGCACATATAACTTGCTTTTGACTGTATCATCCAGTCTTTTATAAACTGCTGCTTAGAAACACTTGTAAAATTCCCAGTGTAATTTCCCCACAGAGCCATAATTGTCCGAAACAATGAGGTCATCCCAGTGTCCAATGAATTCACACCAGAAAGTGAAAGACAGCGGCTACAGTACCTGGTGAGTCATCTGGTGTTATTGTCCTAATATAATTCCCATTCCATTTCTAGCTTCATTCTAAACCCTGTTCATTCATTTACTGTGTCTGCTCCATTTCTATTAGATCTTCCATTCTGTAACCCTTCCATTGCGTTTGTGCTGTTTTTGTCTAGGGCTTCCTCAAACCGGAGCTGCTTGGGAATGAGTTTACGCATATTGAATTCCCCAGACGTATCCAGCACAGTGAACTCGGCAAGAAGATGCTTTTTAGAGACCACACAATGACTGGCTGGTAATTCTAAAGCAGGCTTAATTTTATAACATACAGTATTGTTATTTTATTTACATATATAAATAAAAGTTGAAGTCTTTGGTTTTATCGCATTCATTAGCATTACCTGTTATTAATTCAGGGCATATAAGACAATTGTAGAAGACGATCTCAAGTTCCCGCTGATTTATGGGGAGGGGAAAAAGGTAAGCGAATCATTTTGCTTCTTTTTAACTTGAAAAGGTCCAGGTGCTGTAAATGGATTTTATTTAAAGCTGCATAGCGGTAACATTTGTTACAGACCTAACATATAATCTGATGAAGGTGTCTGAAGCTTTTTTCCGCTCAGTTTTCACAGCTATTTATTACAAAGCAGGAGTAGTGAGGTGTTGCAAATGGGAATTGCTAAAATGTTCTGCCAGTTGTAGGCCAGAATAATGTCTCGTTTGATAAAGTTTGCATGAATATAAAAGAACCTTTTTGCACTAATGGCACATGAATCTCCAGCTGTGAGTGTGTGTGTGTGTGTTTGTGTGCTCTTAGGCTCGAGTCATGGCTACTATTGGAGTAACGCGCGGTTTAGGGGATCACGACTTGAAAGTGTACAACTCCAACATTCATATCAAACCTTTCCTATCCTGCTGCCCAGAAGTGAGTATATTGTTAGATATTTATATGCAAGGCCATTTATTTACTCATTCAAATAGTAATTTAGCTACTAGTTATTAAGTCACTTCTTGATTGAAATGGACAGTTCACCCAAGAAGTTTTATTAGATGTTATTTTAAACCTGTAAATTAAAAGTATATGGCATATGAAGCATAACAGCATCAAAATAATATAATCTCATGCCCAGGTCAAGGTGTACAAGATCTCTGAGCACAAACATGGGTCTGATGATGTCCTGATCATGGGTAGTGATGGACTATGGGACGTTACAACTGACAGAGATGTTGCCGATGCAGTATCGACTTTCTTGTCTAGTCGTGAGCCCAATGATCCCTTGAGGTAAGTGCTCGATTTTTCCATCATAACTGACCTGATCACATAATGGACAGCACACATTTTACGCAAAATTTTCTAAATGCAAATAATAAAATGTAACAACACTAACCACCATTCAAAAGTTTGAGTTTGGTAGATTTTTTTAGTCTTTAAAGTCTCTTATGCTTACCAATGCAGCTTTTATTTGATCAGAAATATAGTAAAAAAAAAACCAAGTGCCATTCCTCTCGCTCTCTATTTCCTTTCTGATTTGTCGAACGCACCTCTGCAAGTCAGTACGGGACGGTAGGGCTTGTAATCCATGAGTATTCTTTAACATCGGTGGGCCGTTTGAATCTCAATCTCAGTGTGGCAAAAGGAATAAGCCAATACTGCTAAAACATCAAAGCCCTGACGGCATGAGAAATAAAAACCGAAGCACTTTATACGTAGCAGAATTCATTTGAGCTGTAATTTAAACTGCTGATTATATTTCCTAACTGTTCTCTGACTGTCTTCAAAGAATGCGTCTTTCGACTGAGGTTAAGGTTTCTGTAGCAAGATGCAATCAACAACAAAAAACGATGGGCATTTCCTGTGAATGCTGAGTTTTTTGTTCATTTCAGCTGTTTCGGGTTCAAACAGGCATCCTTTTACATGGAGGCAATGCAAATGTCTATATTCTGGAACTAGTATTAAATATAGCTCTGTAGAACTAGGCTCATTTTCCCTAGGCCTTCAAAAAGCCATGTACAAATAACCTCTACAAATAACATCTAGTACAGCGTAAGTCGTTGACGTGCACCAGGCTTTCCATTCACAACCGAACTGATTGCTTGAACTGCTGTAGATTTGAACATCGTAGCTGAATGACCTGTTTATTTTGCTGTAGGTAAAACCTAATTTGGTCTAAAACCGTGTCAGTAAAGCATCTCAAATCCAACAACTATTTAGATCCAAACCTGAAACTGAGAAACCTGGAATTAGTTTCATCAGTCATCGGTCTTTTTGTACACCTTGAATGTACCTGATTTCCTTTACTTGATGTCAGTGTTGTGTCTGTGAAGTATATAGTAAATATTGATTTCTGCCTTTCGAATGATGATTCATTGTCAAAGGATTACTCTTTGCAAATTATGCGACTAATTCTAAATAAATCTATCCTTTTTATAATGGCTATGTTGTTATTTTTTGTGCTACATTAATTTGCTCTATTGTGCATGAGAAATTAGTGTTACTTTTGTTATTGGTTTATGGTGCACTAATTTTTGTGCACAGTAGCTTGTATTTAGAAGCAATTATACTTATAAAGACTATAATAAGGATTATGATATATGCTGTTCAATATAGTGATCCGTCATATATAAAAAACATAAAAACAGCCACTATGTGCACACTCTCAGAGAGAGAGAGAGAGAAAAAAACATACAACCAGCTGTCACAAGGGAGGTACCCTTTCAAAAGGTACTTGTATGTAATATTTAGTACTATTATGTATACTTTAGGTACTAATGTGTACCTGTAAGGTACCAATATGCACCATTTAGGAGTAAATAAGTTACCAAATGTAGCCTACCTTTTGAAAAGATACTGCCCCAGTAACAGCGTTTGTACTTTTTTTTCTGAGAGTGTAGCTGTTCATATTGATCAAAAATACAAAGTAAAAACAGATATTAAATCATTGAGACCTACTGAAGGCTAATAAAGCATATTTTTGAAAAAGGGTAATATTGTGAAATATTATTAATATTGTTTATTTTAAAATGTAATTTATTCCTGTAATGGCAAAGCTGAATTGAAGTAGAAATAGATTATGATATATTCTGTTCAATATAGTGATCCATCATATAAAAAAAAACATAAAACAGCCACTATGTGCACACTCTCAGAGAGAGAGAGAGAGAAAAAAAAACATACAACCAGCTGTCACAAGGGTGGTACTTGTATGTAATATTTAGTACTATTATGTATACTTTAGGTACTAATGTGTACCTGTAAGGTACCAATATGCACCATTTAGGAGTAAATAAGTTACCAAATGTAGCCTACCTTTTGAAAAGATACTGCCCCAGTAACAGCGTTTGTACTTTTTTTCTGAGAGTGTAGCTGTTCATATTGATCAAAAATACAAAGTAAAAACAGATATTAAATCATTGAGACCTACTGAAGGCTAATAAAGCATATTTTTGAAAAATATTGTGAAATATTATTAATATTGTTTATTTTAAAATGTAATTTATTCCTGTAATGGCAAAGCTGAATTGAAGTAATATATATTTTTTAATTGTAACGCATAAAGTCCATTTCCTTAAGAGACTTTTAGGTTTGGTTTCATACAAGAATCTCACATTGTTTTTGTATTTTTTAAACTTAAGTTGCTAACAAGTTGCTATATGAAATGATTGTCCGAGTCAAGCATGTAAACGTTATAGTCTTTAAATTAACTTGTTAGCAACTTAAAAAATAAACTGGACTGCTTCAAAATTGATGTTTATGGTTTGACTTTTTGTAATTAATGTTTATCTTATCAACACCTTAAATTATAAATAAAATGAAAAAATGCTATTCAAAAACCAAGAACACATGGCTCAAAAATGCCTAATTCTTCTTATCCAGGTTTTATGACTACAAACTAAGCTGAACAAGTCTTTTAGAAAAATGTAGTTTAAAATACTTTTAGACATGTAGGACAGATATGTACGACATAATGTCTGCCACAAGTAGAATTAAAAGGCTATTAACAATAGGGATGCACCGAAATGAAAATTCTTGCCCGAAGCCAAACAAAATGAAACACTGAGCCGAAGGCCGAACACGGTTTTTCACATTTTTCCCCCATTTAGGCCTATTTTGCCAATTATTTTCACCATTGCATTAATTAAATTGCCAAAATGTGCTTTTTACTGTTTTGTCCTGCTTTTCAAATAAAAAATCAATTAAAAAACAACAATTTAAAAATATTTACTTAACACTAAACATTTTTTAACATTCTAGCAGACATTATACCAACAAAGCACAATTTAACTTAAAATTAATAATAAGTTAGTAGAATAATATTTTTGGCCATTTTTGAGACTTGAATCAGGCATGTATTTTTTACTGTACAAATAAAGGCAGCCTTGCTGAGCAGAAGAGAATTCTTTTAAAACATTAGAAGGTATTACAGATCCCAATTTGAACACTATATGTGAATGTTATAATAAATGTATTAATAGTAGGGATGTAACGATTAAACACGAGCCGGTTGAAAATCGGTTGAGATGCTAAACAAATCGCGGTTCAATTAGGGGTAGGAGTTTATATGAATGTATGTCTGAGGGGAACTTACTGTCTTTCGATGGTATTTTTTATTTTCCTCTTGCCTCTGTATAATGCATATTAAAGTTCATCAGTGCAGCGCTGCTTTGTTTACAGCGGAAACCAAGGAAAGGCTTTTTTTGAGCACCACATTTAAATGACTGGATTGAAGGATCCAAAAACGCCTGGAGAACTGGGGTAAAACAAATGGCTCCTGAGTGAAAACTGTGCAATCCAGTGTCCCAAAAAGACTTGTATATATGTATTACAGTTCCTTTTTCAAGACTGAGGCATTAGATTCTTTCGTTCATGAGTTTTCAGATTTTTTCTAAATAAAAAGCAGTAAAATTTCTTTCCTTTTTTAATTTTTTGTCTATTTACATTCTATTTACTAACTCACCACACACAATAATGTACAATAACTGTAATTTCCTGAAAGCCAATCATTTTCTGAAAAAAATGACACCTTGCACTTGAAGATACCACATTTTGTTATAATTTTATACTCCAAAAACCAAAATGAGTGAAAATGGCCTATTTTAGCTTTAGGTTCTAAAGGGTTAAGCGTCACCTGCTGGCAGAGAGTGAATCTGCATCTCATTCAGCTCGTCTGCTGTTTCATGCAGATATTTTTTATGTATAGTTTCACAAAACTGAAGTCAAACCATTCTGTTTTTGCTTCAAATTTCGAAATTATACAATGTAATTTAGATTAAAAACTGCTCATGTTGCATGTATGCAGCATCTTTGTTTGGATCATGATTAAAATGCAGTGGTTGCCTCTAATTTTAAATGGAAAGAGCACAGACAAAGCCTTAGTTTGTTTATATGAAGAGATTTATTTTATTTGTGTTACTTATTTATTTGATTTGGAGCTTCTTTTAAAAAAAGTGAATCGAATTGTGAGTTGAGTGAATCGTTACATCCCTAATTAATAGAGCTCGTCATTGTTCGGTACATATTATTCGGCCTTTTCGCTTATTCAGCCGAACAATGAAAGAGATTTTTTTTCTATTTCTATTTTTTTCTATTTTCGGCCGAATAATTTCGGTTGTCGAATATTCGGTGCTTCCCTAATTAACAAGGCTTGTTGGGAAATGACAAGGACTGAGCGCTGCCTAAATCCAAAACGTATTAACTGTTGGTTGGTCAAGTTGGTGTCATGCGTTGAACTAGTGCTGGGCGGTATACCGGTTCATTCCGAATACCGGTGTTTATTTTTGTTATGATATGAATTTTTAAAATACCGCAATACCGGTGTATGTCGCTTAAACAACGTTCGGAACGCGCCACTGTTTGAAAGGGGTCCCTTTTCACTGTTGCACTGTGGTGAGGGAACAGCTGTATGTGTTACTAAGCGTGAAAGTTCAGAAACTGAAGCTGTAGAACTAATAGAACGTGATGACACAGAAGAACTCATCCACAATATCCACATTGACCTCCACAAATATCCACCGCCCCCCTGCCATCAGCTCTCGCATCTCACACACACGAGCTCTAGATTGATCAACTTTCAGACCCTTTTAGTGGCTTTTTCCCATAGAATATTCATACTGACAAACCTAGCGACTTTTTTGGATAAACCTTTTCGCCAAAGATTTCGCCCAGTGCTGTCCCGCGAACGCGAGGTCTGACTTTCCCGGACAAGTGTCACCTCTCTCGGCGTCTGTTCTGTGCAGCGAGCGGCAGAGAAGCACCGCAGCCGACAAAACAGCGTTTCCTAGCACCTGTCGCCTACTGATTGTTTGGAATTCATGCATGAAAAAAAAATACCGTCATGTACCGTGAAACCAGTATAATTTTGAAAAGTACCGTGATATACATTTTTGGTGATACTGCCCAGCACTACGTTGAACCGTTATATCAGGGTTCCTCAAATCTTGCCCTGGAGGGCCAATGCGCTGCAGAGTTTAGCGCCAACCCTGATCAAACTTACCTACCTGTGATTTTCTAATGATCCTGAAGTCATTGATTAGCATGCTCAGGTGTGTTTGATTAGGATTAGAGCTAAACTCTGCAGGAAAGTGGATCTCGTGGGCCAGATTTGAGGATCCCTGCACTATATAATGCTATTATAATACGATATAATAGCCTAATATATATATATTAGGTTTGAGACCCCTGGACTAAATGACTGAGATTTATATATGCAATAAAAATCACAAGTTTGATGATAAAACTCTTGTTGCTGTTTTATGCAAAACGTCAAAACTTTGAAAAAGCCTGCTCATGTAATAGTTTAGAGTCATGGCATAAATATATTGTGTCCATGGTGCATTAACAACACTTGGGGTCTGACCCCAGACTGAGATAAATGAGCTAATATGGATTGTAGGTTTGCTGAAAATGCCTCATTGACTGCTTTCAGACCAGCTCCGCATTACAAACTGCTCCCAGAATCCTCAGCCTGCTTCCTGTTGCATTAAGCTTCTGGCTGCCTTTGTCAACCTGCCATCTGGTGAACTTTGCCACACTTTTCATATATTTTCCTGGAGCAGAAATGCGTTTTCAGGTCCACAACCCCTAAGGCACATACACCATTTTATTTTTGAGTGACCATGTGGCGTCTTCGAGTCACAGGACACACTGTCAAAACTTTCTGAGATAAGACACTAGTTAGTCCAAATTCCACAGCAGCCCCAAACTGAATCAAAATATAGTTGAATTACATGAGAAAACCTGGCAGTGAATTGGGAGAGCGGTTCTCCTACACACTCTGATGGATACAAGGAAGGCAAACCAAGACAAACGTTATCACTGTTTACCTAAACCAGATCTCTTCAGTTTATTATCTTCAGCATTGATGAGGTGTTCATGAGGTCGTTGTGTTACTCGCAGCGTCATATATAGGCCATCTGTCCCTCATGCCATAAAAACATGATTTCATTCATTGTAGGTTTGGTGGTTTTATGCCATTTTTAATGTAAAGTTCTGTTGTTAAAGGGATAGTTCACCCAAAAATGAAATTCTGTCATTAATTACCAAACCCGTAAGACCTTTGTTCATCTTCGGAACACAAATTAAGATATTTTTGATGAAATCCGAGAGCTTTCTGACCCTGCATAGACAGCAATGCAACTGACACATTCAAAGCCCAGAAACATAGTAAAGATATTGTTAAAATATTTCATGTGACATCAGTGGTTCAACCGTAATTTTATGAAGCTACGAGAATACTGCAATTAACTATGCAGGGTCAGAAAGCTCTTGGATTTCATCAAAAATACCTTAATTTGTGTTGAAGAGATGAACGAAGGACTTATGGGCTCGGAACGACACGAGGGTGAAAAATGAATGACAGAAATTTCATTTTTGGGTGAACTATCCCTATAAATGCAAGTTGTGACAGATTTTGTTAATTTAACTCATCATTTTACGTCACCAAGAGTCAAACTGTCATTCTTACAGTTCAACTTAAACTATAAAATGTTTCTAAAGTTGTCAGCCAACTGGCAAGTACAGTACTTTAGTTTTATCCATTCACACATTAGTTTTGGACTTTGATCAGTAAGCTCCTACAAACAGTTTTTGGAGACATTTCAAGTGTTGGAGTTTGCATTTGAGGACTGTGCTTTGGTTGTGTAACCTTATAACCTTAGACCATGGGGAGTATTTGTCTGTTAACTGCAATAATATATTATATTGCAAGTTACTATGTAGTTTGAATGGAAAAAACAGATGTTTTTGGGATTAGTTGGACAATCCTCTCATCCTCAACTAGCAACTTGTTCTAGTTTTGTTACTAAAAATGATGTTTGTTTAGAAGAACTTTGGGACTTGTCCGGATTTGTCACAGGAAGCATATTTAAGCCAGCGCTGTTCACATTTGAGTTTCTCTCTTATTCTGCAAAGAACTTAGTCTTTAACAATGGTTCAAGGTGTTTAAAGCTCCTTCAGTGTGCTTTTGTAACCTGATTTACCTGTATTTGTGTACTTATCTTTTGTCAATAATTGTAAAGGCATTTTTCAGATGACTCATTTGAGTGTTTTGAACACATGAATCACTACAGTAGTTAAAGGCCTATTTACCGGAAGATGGAAAACAGCAGGGAATTCCATGCGTTTCAGACCCTGCTACGTAAGCGATATGATGTTTAAAAGGAAGTCTTCCTAATCATTTGCATATTTTTTTAAATTCTCTTTTGTTCAAATAAAAGTGCGCCCGGATCATTAATGAAGCTTAGTTTCTCTTTTGAAATCTCAGAAATGGCTTTGAAAAGGGAATTCTCAGATCAAACAGGTCACACACTTTTTTTAAGCAGTGTTGTGTAACATTTAAAAAAACTAAACCCTCCTGTTAGAAAGAGAAAGGTTAGTTATGAAAGTTAGTATTATTAGTGGTGTTTGGTTGTCAAAGTTACCATGTTAACTTCTTGTGATAATTAATTGATTTAACATGTACAGAATTATATATTATTTATATATATATATAGCAGTTTATAGTGCGAATTGATTTGAACTGTGAATGCATCCAAAATGGAACACTTGCCAAATGGCAGATGTGACTAAAATTGGGTTTGCTGAATAAGTGTAAGAATGTTGTATGCGATTAAAATAAAAGATGATTGTTTGAAAGATGTTGACAGGTTTGGTTGGGCTCAGAAGCCTTTGTGTGTATTTTAATGTGTGTTTTGTAGAGCATGAGGATCGTGTCCGCAGGGTGAGTTTGGTATCAGGTTTATGTTAAACAGATGTTCATATAATGTTTACTTACACACGTTTTCCTCATCTGCTTTTTATTCAGCAGCGTTCATGTGCCTTCAGGTCTGTTTTCTGTTATGGTGCACAACATATGGCTAAATGATAAAGAAAACATTGGGCTACAATTTAAAAACAGAGCAACACAAATTGTTGCATTGGAGGACCAATCAAGAACTGTTGTAGTTTTGTGTTGAATTTATGAAGAATTTCCTGGCCACTCTTACAAATAATGAAAGTTAATCCATGAAGCTGTTCCTAGGAAAACACCATAAACGTATCCTAAAAGTGATCCAAATATGACTTCTGAATAAATAAGATAGATTGAAGTGACTACATTTCTTGATCTTCTTTCGTGAGAGTGAGGACTGATGCATGAACGAATCATTTAGGCCAGTTTTGTGAACTGTTTCTTGGAAAAGATCCAAATCAAAAGAACAGTTTGGTTGCAGTCAGTCTTTTTGGACGGAAAGGTTGTGTAATGATGTGGCATCAGGCTCAACGCTATGAAGCCTCATTGCTGAGCTTCAGTCCTACAGGAGAGCAGAAGGGATGGAGTTTGATTCCCTCTAATCAGTCGTTCAACTAATTCAATTCATTAGGCTTGTTGTGATTGGATAAGCCAAGCCTTGCTGTGGCTCTGTACAGATATGTGAGGGAAGAGACATATGCAAAGGATTGATACTTCTAAGTTCATTTGTGTTTTCCTTAAGGATCTACAGTATATCTGAGACCATATCACTGCTGGTTGATAAAGTTTTTTTTAGATTATCAGTAGGGATGCACCGATATGAAAATTTTGGCCGATACCGATAACCGATTATTCTTTATTTTTGAAAGCCGATAACCGATATGTTGGCCGATAAATCTATATCCAAATTGTTATATACTTTTTGAGAGCCTGATTACAAAAAAGGGCTCATCATTAAAAGCCACATCCCAAACACTTCAACATAAGCAGCCTAGTTTGAACGGTGTACGTTTAAAAAATATTTTTACTCTCCCAGAATGAATCTGACATTGAAAACAGATCAAGGTTTTCTATGACAGGTTAAAAGTACTCATTTTTATTTTACTTTACATTATTTATAAAGCTTTTGACATGACACTTTCCCCCCTCTAGACCTGTTAATTTATTGTAAAAAAAAAAAAAAAAAAAGAAGGAAGGAAAATAAAAAGTATAAATGCATTTCATACATACAATGACTTAAAAATGACAATGTTTTAAGAGTTTTTTTTTTAAAGTGTAGTGTTTTTTGTATTTGTATTATTTATCATATATTATTAATATTTGACATTTAAATATTTGAAAGTTTAAGTTTTGTTTTAAAATATTATTGATATTTGAAATTTAAATATTTAAAAAATATATTTGAAATTGTGTTTGATAAATAATTTATTCTTAAAGTTGGTTTTAAGGTCATTTTAATATTTGAAATTTTGCTTGCTTTATTTATTTATTTAAAATATACTTGACATTTTATTTAAATTTTTTTTTTTCAATTGCTAAATAAACCAGTATAGAATCGCCATTTTTGCCATGTGACAGAAAAACTATAAAACAGGAAATTATATACCAGACTCCTGTAGAACCTCATGACTCTTTGTCAGTCTTTAGAAACATCATACATTTTATATACAGAATATATATATATATATATATATACATACATACATACACACACAGCGGGTAAAATACGTTTTAAACACGTCACCATTTTTCTCAGTAAATATATTTCTAAAGGTGCTGTTGACATGAAACTTTCACCAGATGTTGGTAACAACCAAAGTAAACCATACATACAAAGAAAACAAATACGTTCAGAAATTAAGTTATGTGTAATAAAGTGGAATGACATGGGAAAAGTATTGAACACATGAAGAAAGGGAGGTGCAAAAAGGCATGGAAAGCCAAGACACCAGCTGAAATCTATCAGTAATTAGAAAGCAATCCTGCCCCTAGTCAGTGGAAATTAATATTAGCTGGTTCAGTCCCAACTGATGGCCTATAAAAAGGTGTCTCATGACCAATGTGTCACACAAGAAACATTTCATGATGGGTAAAAGCAAAGAGCTTTCTCAAGACATTCGCAACCTTATCATTGCAAAACATACTGATGGCATTGGTTACAGAAGCATTTCTATACTTCTGAATGTTCCATTGAGCACTCTTGCGGCCATAATCCGAAAGTGGAAAGAACATCATGTCACCATAAACCAGCCACGACCAGGTGCTCCTCACAAGATTTCTGACAGAGGAGTGAAAAGAATTATCAGAAGAATTGTCTGAGTTGTTGATTCCAAACACACAGCCAAGGAAACGCTCAATTGGTTTCAGAGAAAGAAAGTAAAGCTGCTAGAATGGCCCAGGCAATCACTTGACTTGAATCCAATAGAAAATCTATGGAAAGAACTACAGATCAGAGTTCATAGAAGAGGCCCATGGAACCTTCAAGATTTGAAGACTCTGTGGAAGAATGGGCCAAAATCACACCTAAGCAATGCATGTGACTAGTTTCTCCATGCAAGAGAACATCATTTCACCATAAACCGGCCACGACCAGGTGTTCCTCACAAGATTTCTGACAGAGGAGTGAAAATAATTATCAGAAGAGTTGTCCAAGAGCCAAGGATCACTTGTGGAGATCACTTGAAGCTGTCATTACCAACAAAGGCTTTTGTACGAAGTATTAAATACATTTCAGTAAGCGTGTTCAATACTTTTTCCCTGGGTCATTCCATTTTGGATTACTTGGGTTGTTACAGACATCTGGTCAAAATTTCATGTCAACAGCACCTTTAGAAATATATTTACTGAGAAAAATGGTGACGTGTTCAATACTTATTTTACCCGCTGTATGTGTGTGTGTGTGTGTATATATATATATATATATATATAATATTATTTAATTGTAATTTAATTTTAAATATTTATTTTAAAATTATATTATTTTATTAAAATTATTTTATTATTTAAAAATATTTTTGAATGTCAGACATTTAGTTAATTGGCTGTAGCATAAAAATTGTACATGTACATCTCCATCTAGCCATCTTAAGCCAGAACATTTCCTATTATGAATGTGTAGTGCTTATTTTGCCTCATTTCTTGGGTTGTACATTGTCTATTGAGACCATGTTTATCTCGTACTAAAATATATATTAAGTGCACTTCTGCTTTTGTGTAACTTGTTTGATTGCAAATTAGTCATCATGTGAAGTCCAGCATGCTGTACAGATCATAAAAGGCTTTTACTCATTCGGTCCAATTGTGATCCACAGGTGGAGCTGGCATTGTGGGACACAGCAGGACAGGAAGACTACGATCGTCTGAGGCCTCTGTCTTATCCAGACACAGATGTCATCCTCATGTGTTTCTCCATTGACAGTCCCGACAGTTTAGGTAATTCGATTTGCTGAAAACCCAGAAATCTTGTTCATATCTTTTAGTTTGGCTCATTCTAATTTAGGTCAAGGCCTTTCTTGCTGGAAGAAAGGATTCACTGAGTCATCACTGTATGCAGGACGTTCCTGTGTTTTGTCTAAGAGCCGAGGCGCATCATGATAACTCTTGTGTCCATGACATCACTGTCCTTTATCTCCACCAGCTTCCCGAAGGAACATCCTGGTTCTCTTCTCTGTTACAATAAGTGTCGGGAAGCTTGAACAAATTTGACTCGTGCTAGCATTGTATAAACGTTATCGCAGACAGTTCTGAGATTATTTGTCAGAATTCAGCCGCATGATTCAGCAGAGTTCATAAGATCAGTATTACATAAAAATATCAGTCTTATAATTCATCCAGCAGTGAAATGAGTGTTGGAATGGAACCACCATTATTCTTCCGAGACTCTAAACATGAATTACTTCTGAATAATAGGATTGGATTTGTTGGGACAAATCGCTTATTTCACTCGTACTTTATTTGGGTCACATTCACATTACAAAACAACGTTCTATAAGACCATATATAAGTATTATTTAACCTTTTCATGTTTTTGTGAACTGTATTTTTATTTCTCCATATTTTTTTCTTCATACAGTACCTACAGTTTGGATTGTTTGGAAACACTTTCTTTATATATATATATATATATATATATACATTTTTTTTTAATTTTTTTTCTCTTATAGTTTTTATACAATTTATTTGATATACTACATATATTAATTATAATATATTTATAAAAAAATTTATAAATATAATTGTTTTCTTTATTTCAAATAAATAAATAAATAAATTATATATATATTTGAAATTTATTTAAAATTTTGGATACATTTTCTTACATTACATTATGATTTTTTTTAATACTATTGTACATTTACTAATACTAATATTTAAGTATACTAAATACTATGTGCATTTTCTATATACATATGTGTATGTATATTTTATATTATGATTAATTAAAATATTTTCATGTATATTTACAAGTTTGGAAACACTATCTTATGTTACTTTTTATTATTATTTAATGTATATCTTTATATATATTATTTATTATACTCTGTGTATAGCATTTCCGATGTGTTTTTTTCTTCATTTGAATGAAATCAATCTTAAACGTGTGTGTGTGATCTCTCAGAGAACATTCCAGAAAAGTGGACGCCTGAGGTGAAGCACTTCTGCCCCAACGTTCCCATAATCCTGGTGGGCAATAAGAAGGATCTGCGGAACGATGAACACACACGGAGAGAGCTGACTAAGATGAAGCAGGTATGTTCCCGGGGCCAGCCGCACCTCCCATTAAAAAGCTCTTAGCAGCCAGAATTACTGCCGCTCTAGAAGCCCTGATCGTTATCATTTGTCAAACTCATCGCACAATCAGTCCAACCTCTAATAACCAATGACTGATGCCCCCATATGATGCGCCAGCGATTAGTGTTCGGTAATCTATGCAGACGGCCTCTGTTAAATCGATCCATTTAGTGAGCAGAATTAACATCGTATGTCATAAGTCGGACAGATAGTGCTGCACAATTCTGACGTCCATCATTCAGTAACAGTAATTCGGTTTTAAATCTTATTGCATGTAATGATTCAGTTCCAACTCCTCTGTTTTGCAGGAGCCAGTTAAACCGGAGGAGGGCAGGGACATGGCCAACCGCATCAGCGCCTTTGGCTACCTGGAGTGCTCCGCTAAATCTAAGGAGGGCGTGAGGGAAGTATTCGAAATGGCCACCAGGGCGGCGCTGCAAGTCCGCAAGAGGAAGAAGAGGAGCGGGTGCTTGCTGTTGTGAGCGAACTTTCCAGAATGATCTCCATAATGACCAGGAAATACCAAACTCCACAAAAAAAAAAAAGTTTTTGACCAAACAACATAAATACACTGGACTGTATGTCACATTTCATGCAAACCAACAGGCGGGAAATGGAGGAATGTGAATAAAATATGCATTAAATGGACAGAGGCTGAGCAGAAAGGCAGGTTAGATCAGTATATGATATGTCTTGATTTAGTTTTCCTTATGGCACAATGTTTTTCCAGAATACACACTTTTTTTTTTTTTTCTTCTTCTTCAGTTTGTACTGTACGGATGATGTCGGTCATAACGGTATTGTTTTTTTTTTGCACATTTGTCAATCGCCTATTATAGCTAAGTCTGGTTTTCATATTATTGTAATCGAAATTAATATAACCATGTAGAAATATCTTAATAGCACAGAATTTGGTAATAAAATCAGTGCCTTCATCACCATACCCTCCACAATTTGAATGTACTCCGGTAAAGTGCTAGTTTTGAGCTTCTCTGTGACTTTACACCATTTTCTAGTAGTGAGAAACCATGTGTTTAAATGTATTTAAAAATCTCCAGTAATATTATGTTTATATCTTTCATTCCCCAAATAAATAGTAATTGCATGCACTTCGAAGGCTCAGTCAGATCTAAAGCCAACTGCCAATTAGGAATGTGACGTATTTGATTTGTATTATCCTATTTGTTCTCCACACATGCATAAATGTCACATAATCTGACTGTATTGTCCTCACGTTAGCCGGTTGAGTATTGTTAATGCAAACTTTACATTTTTTAAGTTGTAATAACTTACTAGGTTTCTAGCACCGCAACACGTCAAATAAATACACCGATGATTGCTAGCAAATGTGTATTAGTTAGAAGAGGCCTTGAGTGCCTTTTCTTTTCCCACACAATTGTGTGCCTTTTAGTTAGTGGTCTTTAATGCGTTTGGTTTGAGATGAATGTTTATGTGCATGCACACGTTTTGTCGAAATCAGTGTTGTAATGTTTCATGCCAGTAAATCATGAAGTGTTCAGGCCAGCCGGGTTTTGAGAATAACAGTAGCTAATTATACAGTGTTGTGCTTCTAGAAAAAGATCTGTGGCTTTTATTCGCTGGTGTAGAACCCATATAGTGATGTCACTTCCACTGCGGTCCCCTGCTGGTGCCATGAGATGCCAGACATGAGGTAAATTAGCAACGCTACATAAATCCGCCCCCGTGTTTCCTGTTTGTGTTGAGTGCTGAATTCATTAGCATGGTGTGGCTTGGTTTCCCTCGTCTGCTAATGTAAAATAAGAGGGTGAAAAGCACAAAAAATGGTCAAGGTGTCCTGGGTCATATTTCAACCCATAAATAAAAAAATTTAAAAATAAAATCTTCCTTGTTTAGGTCCATCAGAAGCACACAGAACATGAAACTAACCATCTGTATAATTCTTGAACACCTGGAACACTATGGCAATGATTTCTTTTTTTATGTTATTATTAAATCACTGACTATAATGCACTGACTTTGCACAAGGAATATCCCATTAGACCAAGTACAAACTACACAATACCTGCTAATAAAAGTTAGTTACCTGCTAATTAGTTTTTTTCTTTTTCAATGTACTGATTGGTGAAATTCTCTATGCAGATGTGAGAACAGACCCATGACCGTTGTGAAGTCGTCGTCTGCATGAGCAAATTACTACAGCGACCAGTCTTAGCATACAGAGCTCCTCTTTGGACTCTGAGATCAATCTGCTGTGTGTTCATATGGTCTCTTCCTTTTTTTTCTGGAAGTATTAAATATGATTTATTAATCCAGATTTGTATGAGCACTCATAGTAACAATGCTTTGTACACGGGCCTAGTATGAATGTAGTTTGAATGAAGTGAAACCCACCTATGTTAATAATAAACTATTTTTTCGAAACAAAACAATGTTGCACTTTCTTTTTCCTTTTGTGTGAAATTAAACGTTCATGTTCTTTTACAAATGCTGGACCATTTACTGTTGAAAAAAATAATGATTTTGCTACATTTTCCAAGTCTTTTCTGCTTAATTTTTAAGTACAACATACAAAACAATTCCACCATAGGCATAAAGCCATGCATTCCATACAATATTCTAATCATAACACCATAACATAAAAAAATTAAAAAAAACAATTGTAGAAAGTTTATCTAAAAAAAAAAGATATATACTGGCATAATTTGCATTGGCAATTTTTTAATGACTACGACAGTATTGTTTTTATATTATTTTAATAGTCATTTAAAATAAACAAATACCCTTTAATTGCTAGAAACATTTTTAATTAATTACTTCCAGTAAAGCATTTGAAATAAGTAAATCTGCATTTTCAATGATAAAGAAAAATAAAACGCATATATTAAATTTAAGAAATTGAGCATTAATAAAAATTGGTGCTGTCAAACGATTAATCGCATCCAAAAGAAACGTTTTTCTTTACACAATATATATGTATATACTGTGCATATTTATTATGTATATATAAATACAAACACATGCATGTATATATTTATGAAAAATATGTTATGTTTATATATTAAATATATTTATATATAATATAAAATATAAGAATATAAATATTTTCAATATATATACTCTATGTGTGTATTTATATATACATAATAAATATACACAATACACATGAATATATAATGTAAACAAAACACTTATTTTGGATGCGATTAATTGCGATTAATCGGTTGACAGCACTAATAAAAATACAGTGTTGACTCGTTAAAGCGATAATGCGACTGTGATCTTTAATCTACATCAGGTTGCACAAGTGCTACAATCTCTCCAGTTTTAACTCAGTAGTGAATAAATGGACTGTTTTGCTGAATTACCAATTGAATCATTCATCTGCATTGTTTTACTGGCAGAAATCAATAAATTGAGTTTGTCAATACTGCTTTACCGATAAAAATGAATCAAATTCCCATTTGCTCTGAATGTAAGCTGATGGTCTCATTTGATTGTTGTAAATCTGGTCCTCACTGCTCAGATCCCCACTCCGGATGCATATGCTGCTGTAGTGGGCTCTCGTCTATATCTAGACACAAACGTGCAATGAGTCATACGAGCACATAATATAGCTACACTTCAGGTCTGAAAGTGTTACATAGGGCTGTGTACCATCAGAGCTGATTTTTAAAGATGCCAGCCGGTTGACCACATCCTCCTCTCCTTCTGCATCCTTGTAGTCGAAGCCAGTGTAGCCATGCTCGAGCTCACAGTACCGGATAAACCTACACAAACAAATACACATTAATGAATCATTGTGACATTTTGCAACCATTTCCTGAAATGAAACAGAACTGTTCCACTTTCAAATCCACAAACAAACAATCGAGTATCAATCAGAACCCAAAACTGGTGTGTAGTGCTTCTAAATATAACTGGAAGAAAAACGGAGATTTTTCTCTTGGGCATGTGGCCAGTGTAAAGCGAGGTCATTGTTTTGCATAAGAAATGCTAATATGGCATGTTATAAAAGACGTTGGCAGCCAATCAGGTGGTTTGTAAGTTCAAAATGGTTTTGTAAGTGTTGGTTTTGTAAGTTCAAAATGGTTTGTAAGTGGCCTTCGGGCGTTAAGACTATTTGCCATTGGGTTGGTGGCAGATTAAGCTTTAGAGGAACATACATTACCTCTGCCAAGTAGGATCCTTGCTTAGGATGACTGGGTTTCCCACCACAATGAGTAAGGCTTTGGCTCTGGTCATGGCCACATTAGACCTCTGTGGGCAACAGAAAGGGCTTTACTACAGGATGGCTTTATTTCTCTAATCTAAGTCCAAACAGATGGTCAGAAACATGTGTTTGACCTCTACTGCTCTGATTATGAGCTCCTGTGATAAACTATTCAACTTTTATTCTTGTAGCTAAAACAACTGCCATTCGATTCCACAAATGCCAACCAGTAGCGCTTGTTCAGACTACATAAACTTGTGATCAAACGTTTGGGGTCAGTGTGATTATTTTACACAAAATTTATTAGTTTATTCAGCAAGGATGGATTAAATTGATCAAAAGTGACAGTAATATTATTTCTGTTCATCAAAGAATCCTGACAAAATGTATCACGGTTTCTACAAAAAATATTGAGCAGCACAACTGTTTTCAACATTGATAATACTAATAAAAAGAAATGTTTCTTGAGCAGCAAATCATCATATTATGATTTCTGAAGGATCATGTGACGCTGAAAACTGGGGTAATGATGTTGAAAATTCAGCTTTGCTTCACAGGAATGAATTACATTTTAAAATATATTAAAATAGAAAACATCTATTTTAAATTGTAATGATATTTCACAATATGACTGTTTACTGAATTTTTGATCGAATAAATACAGCCTTGACAAGACTTCCCAAAATCTTCCCAAACCCTGAACAGTAGTGTATATACAGTATACTTGATTTACTGCATTACAAATGGCAATAAGATGCATAACCAACTTATCCAAAAGAAATTAACTACAGACCTTCTCATTCGAGAGGAAGCCAATGTTGAAGTCTTGGTCCATCTTGACATAGTTGACGCTACTACGGACAGTAGAGACTATGATGACTTTTCTCTCTTGCCCCTGAAACTCTTCCACTGACCCCACCTACAAGAACCAAATAACCAACAGCAAAAATGACTCATAAATGAGCTCAGAGAGGGATAAAAAAAAAAAAAAAATTATAATGCATCAAAATCACAGGCCAACCTTGATGTCTTTCCACTTGTTCAACTCTGCCACAGTGTTAAGAGCTTTCCGAATTTTTTCCACCTAAAATGAATAAAACAATATTTTGTTAAAGGGGTCATATGATGTGATTTTAAGTTTTCCTTTCTCTTTGGAGTGTTACAAAGAGTGTAAAGTTGCAAAGACTAAAGTCTCAAAACCAAAGAGATATTCTTTATAAAAGTTCATTTTAGCAGCATCATATGACCCTTTTAAAGAGTATAAAGGGGTATTTATTTCTAATATTTTTTGCATAAAATAGCTATAAAAAGTGTTTAATCAAATGTTAAGCAAATAGGACTTAAAATTATACATTTTATCCATTACTCATTATAAGTTAATTTTAGAACACAAAGTAAAAACATCCATTCTCAGTCTTACCTGTTTCCTGTAAGGAGTGATAATGCCAATGTCATTGGTGCTGAGTTTTGGCAGACCCTCCTTGCCCTGCGTTTGAATGAGCTTGTTGAGGTAGCTGACGATGACCTCAATCTCAGTCACGTTGAAGAATGAAGGACTGTTGGCCTCCCTTTCATCTTTCCCCATCACTCCATGAAACACGACAGGAAATCCCTGTTCATTACAGAAACAAATAAAGTGCTTCATTCATTCTTTCATTGTACAACATTGGCACCTTCCACACATACTCGGACACACATATAATGCACGAAAACCTAGATAACTCAACTACACTCTTAAAAATAAAGGTTCTTTATTGGCATCTATGGTTCCATGAAAAACAACCATGGAACCTTTCAAGGTTCCTAAAAATGGAAAACGATTCTTTAGATTTAAAAATGGTTCTTTTAAGAACTGTTCACTGAAAAATGAAACCTTTATTTTTAAGAATGTAGAAACAAGATCACACTGATTTACATACTTCACAGTGTGTTCAGTATATTTTGGTTTAAACATCCAGTTATCTACAAAAGCAGCACATGTTTTTGCTTCTTACATCTCTGTCAAACAAAAATGTTTTTGTGTTGTGGTCTGGTACCTTCTTAGGGACATGCTCCCAGTGACAGAAGGCCTCCCGCTCCATCTGGTTTGCAAACACCTGCAGTTCATTCTCATAGAAGAGCTCGTTGGGGATCGTGAGGATGGCGGGATGAGATCTGGGATGGAGCGAGACGAACTTGACAATAAGTGATCCGTCATCACTTTTGACATTAAAAATGGATGAGAGATTAGATTAGAACCTGTAGTTGCGCAGCAGTTTGGTGACGAAGCGGGTGTCAAATCCAGAATGACCATCCTGGCTCTTCTGATAGAGAGCGTTCTGTTTCATCAGCCTCTCCAGGAGGGACTGACCTGTTTCATATTAAATGGTATTAAAAATATAATTTTAGGACTGAACTACAGGCGAGTTTAAGAAGAAGAAATAAATGCAAAATATAATGGAAGTCATGAAACATCTTTGAGTACCCAGTCCATGTAGTTGTGCCAGTGGAGATCTCAGAACGGGGCCCAACTGCTTCGGGTCTCCGGCCAAAACCAGCTGGCCCTTCTCAGGGTCGAGCAAACCTTGGGTAGAGAGAGAAAGCACAGTGTAGAAATGAACAATCTGTTCTTCTAATTCAAGTTCTCAATCTCCTCTCCCAACCTTTCCTCATTTACCCGCGATCCCGATGATACACTCAGGCTCCATGGCTTGTCCGGCCTCATCTATGAAGATGTGTGTGAAGTGTCCCATACCAACACCTCCTGTCACGAGTCTGAAGAACACACAAATAGATATACATTTTTAGCTAGCAGAGACAAACATCCCAGCTAGCACAAAGTAAATTGAGAGAATATGACAGGACTATTATGGTACTGCACACAACCAGAATGGACAGAGTTTCAGGTGCTATATTAATGTTACAAATGATGTACCTTCCTGCAGTGACCAGAGTAACAACAATGACACTGTAGTCCATCAGAGCTTGTCTAGATGGGAGCAGGAAGCTGTCCTGAGCCTCATTCCAGTTACTATGTTTCTGTAGGGAACAGATATAAGAATTATATATATATATATATATATATATGTATATATATATATAAGGGTAATGTTATACATATATATACCCACACACATATATACATTCAATATAATCTATAATTATGTAATTGAAATAAAACGTGTGTTTATATATATATATATATATATATAAACACATTTACAATAATTTTCTGATATTTCAGTAAATTAATAAATTGTGCAATACATCTTAAGTAAATGTGAGTGAACTTTATTTATTCTATGTTAATATAGTTTAGGTATTATATTTTATTATAGTAAAATAAATAAATAAACACATTTGATTTAATTTCATATTTAAATAATATTAATATACTATATTTAGGTATACACCTTTTTGGTTAATTTAAGTGAATTGAGCGAAAAGATATACAGATATAGTACATATTAAAAAAAGAACATTACATTTGTATATTATAATGTATTCATGATATTACATATATAATATAAATTATAATACATTTTGTATTATATATGTAAATATTATTAATACATTACAATTCATATAATATTATAACGAAAGGTCAAGTTGAGTGCATTGGGGTAGAATATTCTGTGCAGTGTGCTGGTGTTACCATCGGCATATTCCATGCATCCTTTTTTGCATGATCTATACTACATACAAAAAATACGAGTAATTCCAGACACTCCCCATGTATATGTCTTACCATCAGTTTCTGCGGTAAAGTGCGCGGGTCTCTACTGGGGGCACAGAGTCGGTAGAGGCGATGGCCATCCACATATCCTAATAACCTCTCACACAGGAGGTCACAAGCACTGTTTGAGGGAGCGCAGGCCAGGATATGGGTTGTAGCCTTGGATTTATTCACCTGGAAGCAATAAACAAACACAAAGTCATGTGTCACATGGCTGTTTAAGGCTGTAATAAACACATGAACGAAGTAGTCCTTATGATTGCCTTTACCTGCTTTATGGCTTCCACCACTGTGACAGTTTTGCCTGTGCCAGGGGGTCCAAAGATCAGGTAAGGTGCTGGTTTGGATGTGCCCGACAGGATGTGCTGCACTGCCGCCTTCTGCTCAGGGTTGTTCTCTAAATCTTTATTGAACATGCTGGAGGACAAACACAAAAAGTTTTGATAAAAACACAGAGTGAGGATCAAAACTCTGAGTCAGTTATTTCTTTCCTTATTTTATACAGGGAAACATACAGGTCAGGTTACTGTATATTTGTGTTCCTATCATCATCTCAGAGCAAATTCTTAACATATGTGCATGTGCGGATGTACTGTAGACGTCCATAAACAGATGTGTGTGAGTGTGTGTGCATGCTGCAGACCTGAGGTGTGGTAGTGCAGTGTGTCCAGTGCCCTTATCAGAGGGGAACAGCACATCTCCCAGTCCGTGCTGACCGGCGAGCTCCACTGCCCTGTGCTGAAGCCTTATGGGGAAGCGATTGATGTTGAACTCCACATCGAACTTCATATTGCTGACAAACTTCTGGAGAAGCCTACAAACACAGAGCCAAAAGCTGTTAGTTCATGTTCTTAAAGAAGGTTTATAATTATTATAGGCCTATAATTATTATTAAGAAGTATTCTTATTTATTATTTTTGAAAAAAGTCTCTTATGCTTACAAAGACTGCATTTATTTGATTAGCAATACAGCAAAAACAACTATTAATGTTAATGCTACATAACTATTTTAATATATTTTAAAACATAATTTATTCCTATATCCAGCATCATTACTCCAGTCTTCAGTGTCACATGATCCTTCAGAAATCATGCTAATATACTGATTTGATGCTCAAGAAACATTTCCTATTATTACCAATGTTGAAAACAGTTGTGTTGCTTAATATTTTGTGGAAACAGTGATTCTTTAATGTATAGAATGTTAAAAAGAACAACATTATTTGAAATAGAAATCTTTTGTAACCTTATTAAATTCTTTACTGTCATTAAAATAAATAAATAAATAAAAATCTCACTGACCCCAAACTTTTAGACAGTAGTGTATATATAAAATGAGGTATTTAGTACAAAAACATGTTAAAAACATGTTACAGTGTGGTTAATATCCATGAAAGCTATGTATCGTGTTATCACTGTTTGAAATATTTCTAAATAAATAAAAATCTCACTCACCCCAAACTTTTGAACAGTAGCGTATATATAAAATGAGGTATTTAGTACAAAAACATGTTACAGTGTGGTTACTTTCCATGAAAGCTACGTATCGTGTTATCACTGTTTGTAATATTTCACATTTCTTACTTCTTGGAGAAGCCGAGTTTAACTCTGTCAAGTTCTACACGATGGACATAGCCTTGATAGACAGTGATGGGCTGGTTCCTGTCCTCTGACAAACAGACGTTCAGTGTATCTCCTCGTAGGACGGACGGTCTGTTCTCTGCCACCCCTGGTACCTGAGTTAAAGACAGAGACAAAGTAGACAGAAAAATAAAAAATTCAGTCCATCTGGCATCTGGTGTTAGATAATTGTGCTTCTCACTCACTTTGAGAATGAGCAACTTTTTGTTTGATTTGTCGAGGGTCATGGTCTTGCCGTAGAGATCGTACTTCTTGATGTCCACCTCCATCTGAATCTCTTCCAGGTGTAGGAGGAGGTGAAAGCGCTCAGTGTAGTTCTTCATGCATAGCTGACTGTCCAGCACTCGCCTGAGAACATACAGATACATACTCAGAGAGAGAGCTGTGTGGCTAACTTTAAACTTCAGTACATCAGTTCAACACAATTTCCTTGCTCTAAAAAAAAAGTCCATGCTTGCTTGCCTCACTCTGGGAAGTTGCTGTCTTACTGGGGGTGAAAGGCGCTCAGAGTCCTCCAGCTTGTGTTTGGCCAACTCTTTCAAGTAGGCTGGGTACTTATATTGATTCAACTTCACCATAATAGTCAGAGTATGTGTGATGAAACTATGAAAAATACAAAGGGAGAAAGAGTGATTCAACAATATTGAACACAATGGATGGATGGATGGATGGAGATAGACAGACAGACAGACAGACAGACGGATAGACAGATAGATGATAGATAGACAGAGAGATAGACAGACAGGATGGATGGATGGATGGATGGATAGAAAGATAGATAGATAACCTCTCAGGTGGTACCCCTTCTTCCACAATCCTTTTCTCCGGCCGGAGTCGCCTGTTCTGTTTGGGGTTATATGGACTCTCTGGGCCCAGTGTCTCAGCTAGCCCAGACTGAACCACTGCCTCCAGTTCCCGGACTATACAGAAGGGCTTAGCGGAACCTGGAGGATCTGCCTCTGGACAGAACTCAAAGTACATGGTGGCTGGAAAGTGCCCGTGGTGGTGGACTTTGTAATGCACTTCAACAGCATAACTCTCATCTAGCAGGGAGACATCAATTTGACATTTTTGTGAGCATCTTAATTTAATTTGAACATCTATCTATTAGATGATAGTCTCTTTTTCTCACCTGGACAGAGGAGAAGAGGAGAAACACGGTTCACTCTCCTCTCATCTACGAGAGTGAAGCAGCGCATCTTGTGCAGAGCTGTGTAGTATGTGAAGTACACGCAGCTCTCCCCCCGGTTTACGATGTGAAACTTCACCACAAACAGCTTCCCCTGCTCCTTGATGATGAACGTAACCTTCCCTTTGGTGGCCTTGGGGTCAGAGGTTATTTCAACACCTCCTTTGTCCTTGATGAGTTCAGCTCTGAAAGAGAAACATGTGACAATATGTTTCAAAAGTAAAATGTGCCACTGGGAACTGGTGCCTGTGATCACATTCATATTATTAATTTTTCACACATGCATTACGTATTTAAAGGCGATTTTGTTCAAAGAAGCAGAATTATATCTCTGATGATCACCGTTTCACTCTGAGTTTGTTGAGGATTTCTGAAGCGAGCTTCCTCTTCGGGGTCAGGACAGGTTTGGGGGAAGAGGATGCTGGGACAGATTCTGGGGCCGATGTGCTGGTGTTCTGCTGTGTGAAGGACTTCCATTGATCGCAGTAGTACACACGCACCTGTCAGAGGAGGGGAATGATGAAATTAAAATATGCAATATGAGTTTCTTGACAAATGGACTTAAAGACACAATATATGTTCATTTATGTTGATTTCACCTTTGGTTTCCCATGAAAAATAACTTTCCCATGCCTAGTTCTGACTTTATTAAAAAATTTTAAGGCACTGATCACATTGGAAAATGTGGGTTCTTTGCTTCCATCCCTGAAAAAAAAGAAAACAAAAGAAAAAGAAAAAAAGGGAAACAATCACATGCAACTGAGTTAAGCCATTGCATCAATGCAGATCCTGGACAGTGATATCATACACAACACTTGTATATAAATGGCACACTGTTTTCTTCCAAACTTTGAAGATGCAAAGACAAAATAAAGCAGAACTTGACATGAATGAATCTTGTAAAACAGATGTGCTACTATAGATACTACTGAGCAGATGACAGATGAAAAAAAGTGGCAAACCTTTTAAACTCAAAGTTGTAAATATCCCGAAGCTCGTTTCTGTCTGTTTTCGAGATCCTCTGCCCCAGAAACTCCAGAAAATCAAGCCCTACTTCGTATGATGCTCTGAGAAAAGGCATTGTGCTGTTGTTTACATGTCAGTAGTTTGGGATGTTATCTGGACTCGACGATTCCGGAATCGAAACTAACGGTGACCAAGCAAGGGTACATCAGTAAATGATCGCATTCGGTTTCAAATGAAGGAGCCCTGACAATTCCTATGTATTTGTTTCTAATAGTATCCAATATATAAATGGCTACATTTAAGTGTCGTTTTAGATTCATTTAATGAGATCAAGGGGAAGTATTTTTCTTGTACTAAAACAGGGGCGCAACCTCAGCTCTGGTCTTGTTTGTATTCTCAGCTGAGTGTCGGTGACCCAGCCCTCTTTCTGCATGCTCTTACATGCGAGCGGCTCTTCCTGTCTCACGCCCCCACCCTCTGCCGCCGAGCCGATGCACTTCAAGGGCTGTTCTATTGTGTGGAACTCCGCCTCTGTAAAGTCGAAACAGCTGTGTTGAGGCCAGTTGAAGGAGGGAAGAAGCATTTCATAAATGCTTAGATGTGGAAAGTGTGTTGCAGCTGCAAACTGCTCAAGATTGGCTAGATGTGATATTTAGATTCCACTGATGTATTATTCAGCTCACCAGTGGGAGATAAAGACAAAAACTTGGCTTGTGCTTCAGGGCACAGGTTTTCTATTGAAAAAAAATGATACAATTATTAGTCATACAGGATAATATAGGATATGTATGATAATATTGAGCAAAAGTGTTAAATACACTAATTAGTATTTAGATGTTTTGTCATATTAAAGAGCAGGTCATATGGGTTTTTGAAAAAATATCTCTTTTGCCGTTTATAACGTAGCTATCCTTAAATGAAAACAATCTGCAAAGTTGTTAAAGGGGTCATATGATGCAATTTCAAGTTTCTTTCTCTTTGGAGTGTTACAAGCTGATTGTGCATAGATAAGATCCCTGAAGTTGCAAAGACTAAAGTCTCAAAACCAAAGAGATACGCTTTATCAAAGTTAAGACTCTGACACGCCCTCCTAAAACAGCTCGTTCTAACACGCCCCCACATATCTACCTCACTATGTGGAAATATTTGCATAATGCCGCCCAAATGTGCACGCAGAGAAAGAAGGCGTGGTTTCAGTAACCGCCGTTAGTGTTGACGCTGTGTGTTTCAGTGCAAAAGCACTTTATTTGGCCTTCCGAAAATAGATGCATTTAGGAATCTTTAAGATTACTTGCAACAGAACAGCAATGCATTTTATGGACGACCGTTTCGTGAACCTAGGAGAGGAGGTAATTCTGACTTTGCTATGACAATCTGGCGCTTCTGAATCAGCTACTGAAAGTATGTTTTGTTACTAGTTTAAGTATTTGCTATTGACTGAGTTTTGCGCATCGTGTGTGTGTGTGTGTGCGCGCGTGTGTGAGAGAGAGAGAGAGAGAGAGAGAGAGAGAGGGTCACATCACAGT